AAAGCTTCTGAAGGGTTTTATTATACACTAGCCGATAACCCGGCATTGCCCGGGTGTTCATTTATTTATAGGGGGGAAATGTCCGGTCCAAACGTAATTTCTAATCTTGCCTTTCCCCCCCTTACGAGAGGGAGCCCCCTTGTGGAGTACTGTGAAGCAGTTACCATGGCAACTCCACTGCTGTGTGCAGTAGAAGCCATTTTAAGGCAGTACAGTAGAAGACATTTTAAGGCACAACAGGATGTATTTTAACAGAAAATTTCCCCCCTTCCCCAGCAAGGGGTGTTAGGGATGTCTTACCCCTACAGTATTTGTTTCTAAAGAGTAAGTCATCTGTATACCAAGTTTGGTTGAAATTGCTCGAAGCGTTCCAGAGTTATGCTGAAACACACACAGACACAGATACACATCCGTTTTATATGTATGTATGTATGTATGTATGTATGTATATATGTATGTATATGTTCTGACCCCTCTTGTTTCACACCAAAGCACACTCTGAGCCAAAGATAAGTTACGGCATTTAATGAACAGACAGACAGGTCCTTGGCAGCAAACGGAAACAGACAAGCTTGGGCAGCAATCCAGCGCAGATAAGCTGTGGCAGCAATCCAGCGNATATCTTTAATTGGTGAATTTTTCCCAAAAAAATTGTTGTTCCTTTAAATTGGTTCCTTAAATAATCCTTTATTCTACAAATTGGAGGGAAATTCAAAACTGATCTCTGGCTGCCTCTCCTCAGCCGTCTGATTGCCTGTGGCCACGAGTTTGCTTAGGAAGCCTGCCTTGAAATCAGATCGGCCAGCTCATGAACTACGGCTCCACAGCTGTTTCCCCACGGCGCTCCTTGATTCTGGGCACTTGGAGGGACGCGCGACCAGCCGTTTCACGCGCAGCGGTTCCAGCTGAGTCCGGCGGCCATTTTGCAGGTCAGAAAAGCCTTCTACCAGAAAATGATCATATCAGTTAAGGACCAACGCCCATTTAGTGGTCCCTGAGGTCCAAAAGGTTGATGACCCCTGCTCTAAGGGGACACTGCCTGCCTCCAAGCTGCAATGCTTATGCTTCAAACTGCCTATGTCCAATGGGAGAACCAGAAGCCATTAGCTCTGCTGGTCAGTGAAATAACCATGCCAGACTGGCAGCAGTAAGGAGAGTAGCCAGAGCGATGAGAAATTTCAAGGGTAATAAGGCTTTTTCAGAGTTTATTTCTGTTCCTGAAGACTGAAGTCATTCTGTGTATTAAAGATAATCTGCATGATAGAGCAGAAGGGGAGGTCCTGCCTGATAGAGCCTTCTGCTTCCTAGCAATCTCTAAGTGTGTTGTCAGTTTTCTGGTGGAGAACAAAACCAGTTCCACCTCCGTTTTAGGCACATTTCCAATCTGCAGCACATAGGCTTGCTACACACACTTCATCCCTCAGAATGCTCCGTAACATAAGCAGCTGCCAGGATCAGGAACTGAGGAGAAGCCATACAGGAGACATCTCTTCCGACTTTCTCCTTGTCTTCATTAACCAGACACAAGATGCAACTGTCTAACAATGGTCATAAAAGTCTTTAAAAGATCTTAAAGAGGTCTCAGAAAACATGAAGCTAGGTATAGTATTTGTCTTGGGCAGATCATTTTAGCTTTCTTCCAGCTTCTAACAAAGTAGATAAGAGGGAAAAAAACCAGATCTTTGTTCTTTTAGTTGGGGAAAAAAACAGACACGATTGTAATAATTCGCTTTCAATTACTCTGAAATCTCTTTCTCTAAAGATGGAGCAGCTTCCCTTTTCTTCATTACTGTATCCAGAAAATGAAGGTTATTAGCCAATTTCCTTGAATGCAACTCTTTTCCATCAACTCCCACCCACTCCCCACTCTAAAATAAATGACCTTCTTGCCTAGCAACTACTTATTTTGACTACCTTCCTCCTGGGGATTGTTTCTGTCCTGATGACTTCCTACATATTTCTTTATTCCATATTATTTTAAACTGGGAAATACAAAAATGGGCATGGGAATGAATTCAGGCAAAGCAGCCTAGAGAAGGCAGTCGGATTCCTGAAGTGAGACCCACCCATTCCTATTGCAGGGCCCAAATTGCTGATCACATGGTCTGTGAAGCTGGCATGTCACTTGCTAGTGACTGATAACAGAAGCAGGATAGGGGTTGGAGATGAAAATAGCAAATATTATATGGAATTGTCCCCCCCCCAAAATAAAGTATAATATCACTTAGTAGGGTTAAAGGTTTGAACATTGAACAAACAAGATTGAACACTGACAAATTTTGTCAGCCTCTGTTTCGCTATTTGCTTTTGGCTGCCATTGAAACGGGGAGGGGGGTGATATTTGGGAGGGGAAGTTTTAAGTACAGGAGAGATTGTAAAAAGGGAGTTTTGTTCTCACCATCTACTGCGCATGCTGGAGATAGTGCTTGGTGTGGTCAAGGCCAACCGTTCTGCATGCCAACCTGATGATGCTTTTGGAAGATGGAACTCACATGACACCTAAGGGATTTGCAGATTGGACTATGGGATGGGGTTACCAGGGAAAGGGGGTTGGGTCACATATTGATATGTATGTTTTTGTGCGCTTTTGCCTCAGATATTGCTATGCTTTGCTATCTTTTCATAACCAGTAAAAGTACTCTTAATTCTGCGAAATGGAGTTAAGTGGTTTCTTTCTTGGTTGCTGAGGGAGGCTGGCTTGACAGCATATTTATTTAATAAGTTTCTATACAGTCACAATCATAAGTTACTTGGTAACACAAACACATACATCCATGGTTAAAAAAATGTTCCCTAGCTCAATTAAAAATAATAGAATCCCCACCCCCACCCCATCAACATTCGGTCTGAAAACAGTATCATAATGGGAAAATGTCACAAGTGAAGAAACATGTACATTCTTTACTAAGCTGTCTGTTTCGTACAGGTTGATTTTGGTTGGAGGAAATGCATTTAGATCTCCCAAATCCACAAAGAATTTTCAATCTCTCTTCCACTCAATTTAGGAAGGTTGGAAGTATAAACCAAATGGGGAAGACCATACTTTTTAAATAATTGTTAAATAGGATTAACGTACCATTGGATTCTATGGTGGTGGCAGTATCTCTGTCATTCAGAAAATGAAGGCACTAATAAGTTAAACAAGTTAGGAAAGGAAACGTTAAAAAAATCAGAATATTATATATTTATCACAAAGACAAGATTAAAGGGAGCCGTGTTAATTGCTGTTAAACACTTAAGACCTGTTCATGCAGGAAGCATGGTAGAAAAATGCAAGAAAGATTATTCTGGCTAACATTAAGAGGTGATACTTAACAGAATGAGCTGTTTTCTATAATTGGAGGTATTTAAAGAGAGAGATCAACAGTTATTATTCAAGTATATTGTAATAGCACCCTACACTATCTAGTAGGAACTTGGATCAATTCCAGCAGACCTCTTAATCCTCTCCTAGACTCATTAAATACTAGCAAGTTTGTTTTTGTTTTCAATCCATTACAAGGGTGTTAAATTGCAGAAGTTTTTTTTTAAAAAAAGATGGTCAATATATATAACTTTAGACAACAATGAGAATACCACAAAGTTTTGTCTAGTTTACTGTTTGTTTGTTTTTAAAAGTATTTAATCAAGAGGCATCTTAAAATAAGTGAAGGTTGGCATGGCACTTGGTTGAACTATAGTACTTAAGTTTCACTTTCCTTTCTCCTAGTCTTTACCATCTCGGTTTCGTTTCTCTAGGAAATGGTTGATTAATTCACAGCCTCTCTAGGGTACAATAAAAACATTGTCCAAAGAATTAACCAATGTGAGACACAACTGTACTATAATTAACAGCAGTATTGTGTGTAGAAAGGTGATCTTTGTCCAATTTTTACAGGTCACTGCTTTTATTTTAAAAGTCCTACATAACTGCTGAATAAGATATGTGGTCTTATGACATTACATTCCCTATTTTAAAACTTCTCTTCGTACATATCACTAAAGATAAGTTAAATGCCAAATTTTCATAGGATGTTATTTCAAACCTGGCTTAAGACAGTCTTTGCTGCCAAAAACTGATTAATTTGCTTAAACACACTATTAATCAGTCTCCTTAAACATTTTAGGAATTGTTTTCTCGTACAAGTACAGCATTGCACATTTATGCAAGTGTTATTTTCTATACTGATGTTTCTAAATATTTTCCTCCATTAGCCCCCCCCCCCTTTCCAAAATGATGCAATTTATAAGCAGCATATAAACATGTTTCTCAACCTTGGCAACATTAAGCTGTGTGGATTTTAATTCCTAAAATTCCCAAGCCAGCATGCTGGTTGGGAAATTCTGGGAATTTACTTTCTCCCATTTTAACTTCATCAAGGTTGAGAAACACTGAATAAGAAGACTGTTACCTTAGGTGAAGTGAATAGGTTGTCATATATATTTTCTCAAATATACTCCGGGGCAACAACACCCAAATATGATGAAGTAGCATTAAAACCAAAATATTTCTGGGAATTTAATCCTGAGCCAGGCCACCATATTAGATTGGCCACTGGGTTGCTGTCCTCTCACCTGCATCACTCGCCCTCACTTTCCTTAGGCATCCTTCACCATTTTTAACTTTCCAAGATGAGGCATGAGTGCTATAGCTGTAAAAGTATAGGCGGCCTTACAGAGAAAATAAAGCCCTTTGCCTCCCATGAAGCCGTAAACCCTTTGGCCATAATGCGTAAGTCCCTAAGATACTACGCGTTGTTTCATCTGTTTCAGGCAATTCAACCTGCAGGAGTAAACATAGAGGAAAATACGGTTTTGCAATGGAGCGATGGGCTGTTTTGCACGCTCCGCAAGAAGCTATTGCAAGGCAATAGCTCCATATCCACCCCGGCCTTCCTCGCCCAAGCGCTGTGCCGGCCAAGCTGACGTCGCGGGGCCGTCCTTGGCCGGGGGAGGGCTTCCCGCTCTGCCTACTCGTCGGCCTTTAAGACCCGGAGGAGGGACGGCTCCGGACAGGCGGTTCCTGTGTTGACAGCCGCCGGAGACGCTCACAGCCGGAGGGAGCCGACTGGCGAAGGCACCGCGAGGGGCGCTGGGTTTCTGCCCCGGGTGCTCGGCATGGCCTTTATGGAGAAGCCGCCGGCTGGGAAAGTGCTGCTGGACGATACGGTGCCGCTGACAGCCGTCATCGAGGCGAGCCAGAGCCTGCATTCGCACACGGTGAGCCAGGCGAGCGGAACGGCTGGGCCCCGGCTGGGCTGCGGCAAGAACGCGGCGGCGGCTGGCGGGCGTGGGGCGCCCTGGAAGAATCCGTGAGCGCGGCGCGGACAGGACGGAGTTGGGTGCGGGAGGTCAGTCTGAGGATGTCGCGGCGCTATTCTGGCTTTCCCAGCGCCGGGCATTTCTTGTGGAGCTGGGGTCCCGGCTGGGCATTATGGGTGTCGAGCTGCAACCCCATCTGGAAGGGCCCTGATGGTGGGGGGAAAGATCTGGTCGCAGGCGTGGGCGCGAAGTAGCCTTTCTTTCCAAGGGGAGCGAGCGAGGGTGGCCTTTGATTGGGGCAATTACTGAGCTCCTTCCCGCTGAGAGACTTGGGTTCAAATCTCGGCGGGGTCCGCTGCTTCTCAATGAAAAAGCAAGCAAAAGACGCCTCGTAGAGTTTCGCTTGCGGGGGCTCTTTTACGCTTGGGATGCGGGTGGGCGGTCATTCCAAGTGTTGGTAAATGTTAGGCGCGGAGCAATTTGTAAAACGTTACAAATTCCGAATGGGACGAGTCTGAAAACGGTTGCTACCTGGAGGAAATTTTCTACCCGGTCCCGTCCTCCCCCACGCTCCGTGATTGTGATTGAAACCAAAGCGAACGCCTGATTGAAACCACGCTGCCCCATGCGGCGGGATGGGATTGCCCTGGGGATCGTTTGCCCCTTTAAAGTACATAGGTTAACAAGATAGATAGGCGTGTGACGATTTGCTGCTACGTGTAATATACGGGTGGTTGTATAATATTTTCTAGCAAGGGTTGCCTATAAAAAAAAGTGGCAAACCAACGGAAGCCTGTTAATTCAGTTCCCGGAAAGTGATTTATTTGAGGAGGGGAATGTTTTTAGTTAGATTCAGCTGGAAACCCTGGTTGAAAAGGCCAGCTAGGAAAGGAAGAATAAAAGTCTCTTTTAGTGGGTGAGGATAAACCTTCAAAACTGAAATATATTTTAACTGAGCACAGAAAAGGTTAATCTGATCTAGTAATCTTCTGGAAGCAACTTTTAATTGATGGAGCCACCCAACTCAGACATTGTGACTGTGTGGGTGGTATGATAATAAATTAAAAAACAAGTGAACAATTAAGTTAAAATCCGAAACATGAATAGGCAACCAGGAAATCATATATCCATCTCCCGAAAAGCCCCAAACATTGAAGCTCCAAATCCTGAGGGAAAAGCTAAGTTTTAATTGCCTTTTTAAAGACAAATATAGTTACGTTTAGACAGTGTTCACTATGGTATTCAGATTTTAGTGAAGAAGAAGAAAAGCAACAGTATGTATTTCTTTGTCTTTGAGAACTGAGGCTTTTGGATAGTGGCAGATTTTTAATAATTTTTTTAATAATTCAAAAAGTTGCCCATACTAAAAACAAAACTTAATTAAATGTAGTTCATATACATGGGAAATTTAAAGTATTGTGAATATAGTTATTGGCTAGTTGGTTATGCTCTTTATTACCCAACATGGACCAATCATTTTTGAATTGGTTTTGCAATAGGAGCTAATAATGAGATTTTTTCAGTGCCATTTTTACTTGCAGAATAGATGAGATTGGTGGCCCTAATGGGGAGAGGAAAGAAAGCAATGACTTGCTTCCTTTGCTAGGAAAATGAGATGAGCATCACCCCTAGAGTAGGACATGACTGGGGAGGGGAAACCTTTGCAGTTTTTTTTTACAATAACAGGGAGGCAGTTTATAATTGTTAAGGTGCTGGCCTAGGGTTATTTTTGGACACTGGGAGTTCTAGTTCTAGGCCTACATTAGGCCTGAAAGCCAGCTGAATGCTTTGGAGCAGTCACTGTTTCTCAACCTAGCCCATCTCACAGGGGTAAATAGGCAGGAGTACTAGGTATGTTTGCTGCTTTTTTATATATGGAAATGGCATAATAATCTCAGAAATTTAATGCCAGAGCAACACTTGTGCTGCTTGCTTAGGCATTTGTTACCAAGCTATTCTCCTTCCTACACCTAATGTTTTTACCAACAAGCTAGCCCCACAATAATCAATTTAAAAAACCTCCCCCTATTCAATAATCTCAGCAGAGCAGAACAAAATGCTATTGAAGGACTTAAGTATAATGACATCATAGTCAACCTGACAAAGGAGTAGACCTTGTTATTATAAAACAAATTGTGTCAAGGAAGCTGAGAAGGAACTCTCCAACACAATGTTAGACAACTTCTCAGATTTCACAGCAGTACAGGCCGTTCTTGATTTACAGCCCTAATGAAGCTTGCCTGTCACGGTTGTAACTTGTGCCGGTTGTAAAGTGGATTGATCATGTGACCTGTTTTTATGACCTTTTTTTGCAGCAGTTGTAAAGCAAACACGGTGGTTGTTAACCACAACCAATGGTTGCTGTGGGTGCAGTTTTGCTGAAAACCCAAATGTTGGATTTTGGGCAAAACAACAGTCCTAAAACACAGTCACATGACCATGGGACACTGCAGATGGCTTGTAAATGCATCCACGGTGCAGAGTATCTGAAGTATGTTTATATGACCAAGGAGGGTGACCATCAGAATATCAAATCCAGGTCATAAGTACCCACCCACCCCTGCCTAGGTAGGTCAATTGCAACTTCACATGTTAAGTGACCAACTGTACAGCAAGGACTACCTGTACATAAAACAGAACTAATAATCTGATGAAACAATTTCCTTAGGACATACAAGACAGTATCTACTGGAAATACTCCAGCAGTCCTACCTACCTACACAAACCAGACAATCCACTCTGTCCCATTGTCTCAACCATTGAAACAATCATAGCTGGACTGGTTCCACCACAAAACCGCGTTCGACTAAAGGGCGCTCGACGAAACCGCGTAGCTGACGTCATCACAGCGCGACAACAGCGCAGAGAAAGAAGGGCGCTTTAAATAGCGCTTTGAAAGCAAGCCGATTCAA